CAGGTTCTGTTATATAGAAATCCAAGTTACAAATTAAGAGCAAAATAAAAGATAGATAATAGGATGTAGAGAGGTAGATCTCTCTCAAATGAGAAGGGAAGGGGATGAGAGGGGAAAGGAGATAAAAAAGTGAATTAAGATGTGTTATGTATATGTACCAACTCCTCACAGAGAAGGTAAACAAATATATGCTTCAAATATGCATGGATAAAACAAACCAAAATAAAATGAACTCTCACAATTCAATAACGAACAATCTAATTTTTAAAAAAGTACAAAAGATTAAAGAGACATTTTACCCAAGTAGAGTGGCAAATAAGCACATGAAAAATGTTCACCACTATTAGTTATTAGGAAAGCACAAATTAAAACTACAGTGAGAAAGCATCATACATGTTGAGATGTCTAAAGCTAAAAAGACCAGTTACAGCAAGTTTGGTGCGAAGGTGAAGATTCTAAAACTTCCTATACTGTTGGTTGCAATGTGAAGTATTATAATCACTTTGGAAAACAGCATAACTGTTTCTTAGAATATAACACCTGGCATATAATAAACCGGTACATGTATACGGATGCAGTTTTATTTGTAATGAATAGAAACTGGAAATGACCATCCTGCCCTTCAGTTGGTGAACAATTCAACAAATTAGTATATGTATACAGTGGAACACTAGTCAACAATGAAAAGGAATTAACTGCTGATTCTTCTTATAATATGGATGAGTCTCAAAATATTTATCTTGAAAGCAGTCAACAGTGTGGTTCCTTTTATATAAGTCTAGAAAACCCCATCCCACCTATACTGACAGCAGAACAGCGTTTGGCTGGGTGGGGTGCTGCTGGGGAACAGAGATCTCAGGAAGAAGTAGGAGGTAATTTGGGTGATGATGAATATGTACATCATGGCGATGGTTTCACAAGTATATATGTGTAGACAAGAGTATCAAAACGTAAAATTGTAAACTTTGTGTATTTGTTGCATGTCAACTAGCAAATTGTCAAATATGTTAAACATGTAACTATGTATTTGCACCTTATAAATCAATAGGTAGAAACATTAAAAGTAAGCGAGACATGAGGCATTCATAAATGACTATGTATGACTGAGAAACATGTTGAAACCCAAAATTATTTAAAATCACAAAAAAGAATAATAATGTACTTGTAAAATTTTTGTATTGTATTTTATCCTATCGTGTATCCATCATTTAAAATAGTAAATGTAAACACTCATGGTCATATCTAATGGTGGAGAAATGGGGCTTCTCTTATAGTGCTGGTGGGCATATAACTTGTTAAAATTCTGTTGGAGGGCAATTTGGCAATAGAACTAATAGAAATAATAGAAATGATTCCTTTCCTGCCTCAGTCAAAGGATCCAGTAAGGTTGGGCCCACCCTGCAGGCTGACCCTCCCCTGGGCATCTGAGAATGGCCAGAATGGCCTATGTATGTGTTGCCCCATCAGCATTCTTTCTTGAAAGCTGTAGTTGTGGCTTGACATGAAAAGAATGCCAGAATTCGGGAGGACTGAAAGAGCCTTTCCTGGAATTCATTCGCTTACTGGAGTCTCAGCTCTCGAGTCTCAATGAAGAGGAGTTGTCTTTGAGACTTAGCTCTAAAGACCCCAAACATCTCTCCCCAATCTTTCCAGGAAGAATCAAAGCCATGACTTATTGCCTCCGTGCCACAGAACCCGGAGGTGTTACAAAGCCACACGTCTGTGACAGCCAGCTAACCTCGTCATTGACTGGCAATGATGGAGCTGGCAAAGGCTTTCGTGCTGTATGCCAGCTACCACCAGGTTTGGTGGCAATGATAAAATTCATTCCAAGGGAGTGCCTCGTTTGATGAAAAGAGAACAGTAATTGGTAATATATTTGCTGTGGGATGGGGGGGGGTTAACAGTATCTTCGCCACGTATTTTCACCTTGATCTAGAACGGTGATGGTGAACTTTTGATATGTGTGTTACTGTGTTTTTCTTTTAAAACAGAACATATTAGTATACCAGTTGTTTTGTTCTAAAATAAAACCTCAGTATTTATGTTTAATTGCAGTGCTGATAAATAAGTAGGTTTTGGGTTGCAGCTTGGTACCATCAGTGGTCTAGAATATCTGTTATCCTCAAAACGGAAGTTCGACACTCAGTCTGTGTTGTAGCTTATATCTAGATCCCCTGCCAAAGCCTCATTTGGTGATAGGATGGGGCTTTTCAGAGGTGGCTGATCTTGGGTGTGTGATACCGGGATTAAGGATGTAATGCTCGGATTAAGGGAGTGTGATTCCTACATTAGTCCACTGATTGGTTTGGCATGTTTCCTGGGTGGACCTGGGAAGGTCCACCACCTGGGGTGGGTGGTGCCACCCAAAGAGCTTGTAGCCTCGAAGGGATGGAAGGGAGAGACAGGCAGCCGCTTCTTTGCTCTTTGCTGCCTTCTGTCAACTATAAACTGTTTCCCCGCTGAGATGCCCTTCTGCCATCCTGGCTGAGAGCCAGCAATTATTAACTGAAACTTACAAATGGTGAGCTACAATAAACCTTTCCTCCTCTAACTTTGGGTATTGGGTATTTCATTTCAGCAATGAGAAAAGTAACCAGCACGCTCTTCCACTTTCAATTATTTCTATAGAATGTCGACGAATTCTTGAATACCACTTTAGTGCAATCATTTTCCTACTTAAAAATCCTTTAAATATCTGTCTCTACTTCCCACAATAGTACATCTACTTCTTAGGCCTAATATTCAAGTCCCTCCACAAATTGATGCCCCTTTCTTTTCTAATTTCTTAGGACCCCTCAGAAATAACAATTCAGGGCTATTTTTTGTACCTATAGCATATAGTGTGGTTTCTAGGGACCATCTCTAGGAGCCAGGGCTGGGATCCTGTCCAATTGAGAACAACTGGACTAATGGACAACAATAAATCACATGCTGCAAAAGGTTAGGATGGAGAGTGGGCACTAGGACAGTTGAGGTGAAGGTCGGGGCCAAATCTGAGTGGACAGTCTTAGGCTCATCTGTCGGGCTAGCTTCTATCCCAGGTTGGCTGCCTGCCTGATATCCCTCCTGAGGCAGCTGTTACCCAAGAGGTGATGGACACATATATGGCACATTTTTATCTTGGAATCCATGCATCTTTTTCGCATTAGTGCCAATTTCTCTTTCTGTTTGTATATCACCTATCCTTCAGCACTCATTTATAAAGCATCACAGAGGCTCTGGTCTGTCTCAAATAGCCTGTTTCTCCTAGTTCTGATATTTGACATCATTCTCTAATTTACTTCCGCAGTTCCTTATAGGTCTCCCCTCGTTCCAGAGCACTGGCACAATGCTAGTATTCACTGTTTGAGCCCATTTGGTCCAGGCATTTACATCCAGAGACTTTATGGAGACTGACTCATGGTCTCATTTATGTGGAGCAGTCTGGATGTGGATGGAATATTAAAGGTGTCTCTTAACTGTTAGATTTAAATACCAGTCTTAGGTAACAAAGCACCATAAACTAGCCATGGAATGCAACAGCATAAAACACAATAAACTCTTATTGCCTATGGCTAAAATGAGACAAAATATTATTCCAGAATAAAAGAGAAAGAAAGTAAAGCTATCATGAAAAAAAGTATGAGTGGATTAACTTGTCCAGCATGCTGAATGGCAGTTGAGTGACCCAAAAGAATTATTCAGTGTGGAAATAAACAACTTGTGGACATCTTGCTAGTGACTCAGCCATGATAAACAGTTATAATTTCTTGTAGTGATGAGTCTAAAACAAAGAACTTCATAATGCATATGCTTAATTTGGAATTGGTTTACCATTTGTATGTTAAGTACAATTTGAAACTTCTGTGAATTCTGATCAATGTAATATAGAAAGCTCAATGCTGAGATTTTACAAGTTGTGGGAAACAGAATAGGGATACTTGTTAACTGTATCAGTGTTTTACTTTTATCCAGGTCAGAATAGAGAAACCAGAACCTTTTCATTTCATATGCTAAACCATGAGGACTCCTCATTAGTTTCAGATGATAATGAAAACTGAAGTTAACTTTCTGTGCTCTAATTCTGGTGGCAGAATAGAAAAGAATTTTAAAACTTTGAGCCAAGGAATAATTCTAGCTATTGTTATGAAAAACCTCACCACCACTGTTTTGTGGGGTTTTCTTTTAATAAGTCATTAAATGCTTTTCTTTTACTTAGGAAGTGTGGGCTCTTAGATTTATAGCATAATCAAAACAGGAGGTACAAGGATTTTTTCCACAAACTTCCTGCATCCACACATACACAAGCTTACCCCCTCTATCTCCAAACTAGACCTCTGGAAGATAAAAAGGTCTTTTCCTTTACATCGACTATCTCTGGAGGTCATGTGTGAAGGTTCTCCTGGCATCCCCTTGATTCCGATGTGAGAGGCACAGGATTTGGATGCCCTTGCACAATATGCTGCTACCAGAGGGAACCACTGATGTAGGCAACTTTTGTGCAGGCTGTTAGGGAGGCTTTGCCTTGAGGAGACGGCTGGGCTGGCTTCAGGCTCTGCTTAAAGAAGGCTGGCCTGAACAGAATTGGTAACTTTTGAAGTGTGGCAACATGGCAGCTTTTCCTTGAGAATGACTGCAGATGTATTGAGGTGGGAGGAAGACATGGGGGTTTCTGAGGAGGGGTTCCAGGAGGAAGAGACAAGATTGAATTTTACTGGTGCACCTTTCTCAAAGTTCACCCTGAGTGAGCAGATCTGGGCCATGGTATCAGCCCAGGAGGACTCAGAAAGGAACCACATGGAATCAAGACAAGCCATAGAGTCAACTAAGATCTGCTCTCACCTCACATGGAAAGGCAGCCAAGTTTCCACTGGTGAGTCTGGATTCTGTAGGCAATTTAGCGATTTCCTGTTGGCTACCCCCTACTGTAGCTTCCCTCCCACCTGCAAGCAGTCACCCATCCATAAATCCTGTCCAGCCCTGGATTATTGCCCAATGTTTCAGAGGGTTGGACTCACCAAGGAGAGCTGAATTCCCAGGATCCAGGACCAGCTGTGTTCCCATAGGGGATGTCAACACTGAAGGAAGGTTCAGGCCAGTAGCTGAGAGCAAGGCCCTGATATCTTCCAACTGTGTGGGGACCTGGGGAGGATCTGCAAGAAGAAAGACGGTGAATCAGAAAGTTAACCCGGGATATATTAAGATGGGAGAGAGTGGTAGCAGGCACATACATGTACGTGCAGAAGGCAGGCACTGCCATTACAGACACTTAGCATCATTTTTCCCATATTGGAATGTATCTGAATCCGAATCTCAATCTTAATATTGAATATCTGACATAATATAATAAGTTCAGTAATAAGTACCAGGCATGTTCATATCAGGAGGTCCTTATTTTCTATTGTAGCACCATTGGGTTCTTATAGCTTTGTAGGTAAATTAAATCATATTAGCAACTTCACTATTTATTATATGACAGATCATGATGTAATTTTTATCCCATTTTTCACGTACCCATTATCCTTTAGAATGTTATTGTCGGGCTGGGGATGTGGCTCATTGGTAGAGCTCTTGCACTGATTGCATGCACAAAGCCCTGGGTTCAATTCCTTGGCACCGCCATCACCACCACCACCAAAAACAGCAACACGCCCCACTAGAATGTTCTTGTCTTCATGGACAGAAATGGGGCCTTATGAGTGACTTGTTCCATAAAGAAAAAGATCTAGTTGTGAAGTCAATTTCCTTTATGGTCTGGATTTTTCTGCCCAAGTGGGATGAAGAAAAACAGGACATGAGGAGGTTATTATGGGATGCTTTGTCATTCAAAATCTTGTAAGGGGTCATCAAAGGTTGCAGTTAACCAGAGTTAAAAGTGACAAAAATTGAAGATATAGTGGTTTGTTTACCATTTCCACGGAACAATAAAGAGGCAAGTGCCTTCTGAACCTGGTGGGAGAATGATCCTGCTCTCCTGGGATAGCAGCCTCCCTTCCTCGGTCTGCTGACGCGCTGCCATTCTCATGCCCAAGGCCAGCTGCCACTCCTCTTTGTAGCACTTGTTAAAGTGGAATGAGAACCTGGAGCATTGCTCTTACAATGGACGATTACTTTAACAAGGTTTGGCAAAGGTCTAACTGTGTACATGGTACTCATTAGGATGGGCAAATAAGGATGGATGGTGCCTGAGAGGACTTCAGAAATACACCTTCAGTCTCTCCGCTTTGTACTTCCCAAGGTCATCACACAGGAAAAAAGTGGTGAATTTGAGATTATATACTGATACATGAAATTTATGAATATGAATTTAAAAAAATTCTCTGCATATAGGAAAAACACTGCTTGGATTCAGGAACCCTCTGTCTTACCTATGGTTCTGTCATTCACTAACTTGGACACTTCCTTAATCCTACCACGGGTTAGTTTCATCTACAAAACGGTTCCTTTCCACGATCTCTTTCTATTGTGGAAAACCATGATTTTAAGAGTTGATGAAGGCAATTTACTCAAAAGATACTCTTTCCTTTTCTACTCTTCCTTAATATTTATGCTTCAAACTTAAGAAACCTTTGTTTATTTACTCAAAGCAAAATGGAGATCCTATGTCCCTCCTGCCAAGCAATTTGTTCTTCTCCTTAGGCCAAATATCAGCGCCTCCTAAGGAAGTTAGAGCTTTTTAAAAAACAAAAAACAACGATGTCTCTTTTTTCATATATGTCTGTTTGATCTTCCCAGGGAAATTAAATTCTCCAGAGGCAGAAGCTGTCTCCTGAATGTCACCTAAAGCTCTCCAGTGGTCAGCTGACATGAGTACAGAGGTAGCACTCGCTGAATATCCACCACTGGATGACTATGAATAAACGAATGACAGTTTGTCTCATCAAACTCTGTTGCTACAGGCTGAATCACGGAACTGACCTAAAATTTCAGCTTTCCACATGAAATCTCTTCTTCAGAAATTAAGCTATATTTTTGATGATTAAAAAAAGAGCTATTGCCTCTATTTTCATAAAGTATCTATAAAAACTAACAATCTTTGTCTAAGAAACTGACTTCTGGTCAAGAAAACAAAATAAAACAAAACCAAAGGATCAGGAGGCTTAACAGTGGTCTCTGCCCATCAAATTTGAAGACTTTATGTTCTCTGAACACCGTATCCACAGTCTCACCATATTAGAGTTGTACGCGGTAAGCACTAGCTCACAGGACACACACACACACACACACACACACACACACACACCACTGGTGATGCAGTGGTGGCAGCCACCATTTTAGACCTTTATCTCTGTTAGCAGAGATAACAAGGAAGGATTATAGGGAGAGAAAACAAAACATCAATAAGTACCACAACTCAGTGTGGGGCAATAGTCCTGGGCTCTAGGCTCTAGATGAGCAGTTAAGCTGGATGGAATCCAGTGCAAAACAGACGACATCCTTCTTTCAGTGATCCAACTTTCTGTGGCTTCCTATGATGGCTGAGGTGTGTGCAGCCCCAGTGAGATGAAACCCCAGCTGGACCTCTGAAATCTAAGTGGGCAGGTACTAGAGAGCATATGTTTTGGTATATCATCAACTTTGGCTGTGAAAATAGCAGCCTAAAGTTTAATTCTTTTTCCCAGAGGCAGCCTATAATGTATGTTTATGTATGTACGTGTAGCATGTAATTGTTATTTCTCATGCTTTTTCTTTTTCCCTTAGACTGACAGGTTTTTCTTGGTTAGAAAGTGAGCATAAGTACTCTAACAGCTGCTTTGTTTTTAAAACATAAGACCTCCTCTCAAAAAAGTGTCTTTTATTTTTATTGTACCAACTCCCTGATTTAAGGTGGGGGTGGGGCAAGGGGAGAAAAACAGCAGAAGATTCCAGTCCAGAGGACAAAAAAGGTTATAGCTTGCAAGATGGTTGAACCCAATACTTGGCAACATCAGCTGGTGGATGGTTGCCCAGCAATTGGTCTTGGTCTTAAGTATCCATTTTATTTTAGACCCTTTAACCAGAAATTCTTATGTTAGGGATGTGCATATGGAGAATTTATATAGACTATGAATTTCCTGGAATTAGATGGAAAATTTTAGTGATGTTAATTTTTCTGGAAAGGGTAATTTGTTGTTTCTACCTGATGCTCAAAGAAGTCCTTAGCACAGAAGGAGTTCTGAATAGTTGCTTTACTTGTGTTTGACATCCTGACTCTCCTTGCAATGTGGACTGTCAGCGCTCACTTGACATAACCCCACATGGAGACCAGTGTTGAAGACTTATGAAGTGACTTGCTCAAGGCTGCACAGTAAGTAGGTCTAGGGTTCAAGTTCATGTCTGTCTGGTCCCAAAGTTTGTGTGATCTCTACTGAGAGGCCTGATGATGGGGAGAGGTAGAGACTGAGTTTGCCCTTTATGTCCTTAAATGAATCAAGGAAAAGAAGAGAGAAGGGTGGGTTAGACAGTCATCCCTGCAGGTCCACCTGAGCAGCTGGTCTGAGCTGTTTACCTAGAATGAGGAGATGGGTGTGCTCAGTCAGCTGTCCATGAAGATTGGCTGCCCTGCAGGAGTACAGGCCCTGATCCGAGGATGACACATTTACCAGCAGCAAGGAGCCCTCATGCAGGTGGTGAGAGGAGCCCAGATTGCTTTTATTCCTAAACCAGGTGACTTCAGCTTCAGGCACACCTACGAAGAAAAAATACATTTATCAGTCCAACATGTTCAGGTGAACTCGAGGTCATTTCTAGCATTTTGGGGAGTGCTTGCTGGGGCTGTTCTGCAGGAAGCATCTGCCTGGGCATCTTCAGTCATCCTCTGGCCAAACTAAATAATGCCTGGACTTCTTCTTTGTATCTAGATGTTTTTCCTTTTAAAACTTATCCTGATGAGGCAGGAAGGGGGAGGTTGGTTAAAAGAAAAGGAAAGAGATGGGAGGGGGTGTTAAAAGGCACTTGCCAAGGTAGAATATCCACGTTCCTTGGAGAAAACATAACATATAAAAACTAAATGTATATATCCATGAAAATGAAGGATCTAAAACTCTCTAAGACACTATATCAAGTAAGAAAAGCCAGATACAAGAATATATACAGTGTAATTTCGTTTCGGTAAGCAAAAAACAAAATCGGTAAGATTAATTTACCTTGTTCATAGTCAGATTGGTGGATTCTCAGAGGAGCTAGATGAACCTAGAGGGGTCCTGATGGAAAGGCTCAAGGGGCTGGGCCATTAAAAATGCTGTTTCTTGACATGCAGACACTCAGGTGGGGAATGTTCTCTTGGTATCTTTATGCTAGTATGCACTTTTCTGTATAGATGTCAGATTTCAATGAAAAGTTACAGCTATAAAACATTAAAATATACATCTGAACTAGACAAATAAAAGCTGCCCAATCTTTATTAGAATTGACACTGCATGGAGGAAAACATGATGCATTTTTATAAATTGCTAAGGTCTAGATCTTTCTCCAGCAGCCCTATATGTTGGCTAAATGTTTAGGGTCAGGGTAGTAAACCTTTAAGAGGCTTTAAGAAGGTATTCAGGACATGGCCTTGAGGGAGACTGTGGGGCCCAGACCCCTTCTTCACTCTCTTTTGCTTCCTGGTCATGAAAGAAGTGTGTTTGCTCCATAATCTGCTCCTTGTCGCGGGTCAAGTCAAGGGGGCCAAGAAACTATAAATGGAAGTTGCAATACTGTGAGCCAGAATAAACTTTCTTTCTTTGTAAGCTGATTATCTCAGGTATCTTGTTACCATAACAGAAAGGTGATGAACACAAAAGTGTGTATATTTTCTCAGAATGAGAGAACACAAAATCGTGATATCAGCAGTGCGACAGGAGATGGGTGAAAGCAGACAGTGCCGTCCTCTACCTAAGCCACATCTGTCTTGTGAGAGAGAAGGCCGGGGATGGATGCCTGTCCTTGGAGGTCTGGCTGTGGGTTAGAGGCATGGCTTGTGCTCTCTGAAACGCTTTCTTGTGTTGGAATGCTGGCAATCAGGCCCTGGTTTAGGGCACACCATCCTGAATGGTGTTTGTAGGAAGCTCTGTAGAATCTAGGCTCTGAGTAAGCTGGTAGACTGGGGGTCTGTGACTGATTCACAGGGCTTGGGGAAACAAAAAGCTTTGTCCCGTGTACTGCCCAGCCCGCTGAGCCAGCACAGTGCACACAGTACAGATCCAGGCCATGTTTAGAATATCAAGTCCTGGAAAATGGGGTGAATGCCAAGAAAAATCAAGGAGGCAGGCCCTGAGTTCAGTGTTTTCCCTGAGACAGGGCTACACGTTCCCGTGGGGCAAGGGCACCACTGCTCTTCATGGCCAGCCCACTCTTGGGAATATCCAAGCCTTCCAGAAGTTTTGTATGTATCTGTTATTTGTCCTTGAAACCGGCTATGAAAATGGATACAAGGAAGAGAAAAGCAGGGCTAATGAAAGGGGTGGAGACGGAGGCACAGCAGTCTTGTCACCCCAGGGAGCAGTATACGTCGACTTGGCTCTGATGACTTAATACTTGGTGCTCAAGTGCTTCAGCCAGAAGACTGGCTTAATTTCTAACACACCTATAAGAGGTAACAGGTGAGGGGCAAAAAGCTGATTTTCCATTGCAGCACCACTAGGGAGAGTGAGAGCATCACGATGCTCGTCTGGGCCAGTTAGTCTTTGGATCCTGAACCCAGATTTTACTTTAAAAAAAAAAAAATCCATAGCATTCAGTAAAAAGCCTCTGAAAAGTAAAGAAGAGAAAAAAAGACCTGCAACAATTTCTGTTCTAAAAGCATAGAGAAACATGAGGTTCTAGAAACAATTTCCTTTGAGTATGTATCTCCTTTCTTTAGAATGGCTTCCTACAGAACATTTGTGGCTGGCATCTTCTTCTAATGAGAGCTTTGGTCAGCAGGGACAGTTTCTCGTAGGGCTAAAGGCTGTTCTAGAACATGACAGGCAGAGAGAGAGAGACAGAGAGACAGAGAGAGAGAGAGAGAGACAGAGACAGAGACAGACAGAAAGACAGACAGAGATGAAACGGGCCTTTTTGGTTCCATCAATAAAGATGATGCTTATACGAATGGGGCATGAATATTATAGGCCTGTGCTGATGCAGGCTGGTGTATGCATCTCTAGAGGCAACATTATGGCTCACTGTGTGTAACACTGACACTCCTGCAGCAAAACCCTTCGCTACCTATCACTGTGTCCTGCTCTATCAGAGTCTGGACCCCACAGTAGAGCAAGAGATGGGAGAGATGCAGGGCAGAGACAAAGAGGGACAGAAGCAGAAGGAAATGGGGGTAGAGAGAGAAGGCAAAATACTCAACACCTACAATTTAAAGGAAGAGAAGTTTATTTCAGCTCGTGGATTTTAGAGGATTTGGTTCCTATTTAGCTGGCTGCATGGTAGGGAGGTTCTGGTAGAAGAAAGCTGCCCGGGCCAGTTGGCAGAGAGAAAAGGGAAGAGTGGGGAAGGGAGAGGCACTCCCGTTATAACCCCAGAGACCCAGCTCTTCAGACCAGGCTCTACCTTCAAAAGTGAATTCAGCTGTTTATCGGTGGATTAGTCCACTGATGTCTACAGTGTCCCATTATCCTGTGACCTTCTAAAAGCCTTTGAAAATAAGAGGCTTTGGGGGGACTTTTTTAAAAAAAAAAAAAATCTAAACCATAACACCGAGTGATACGGGAATCCTTATTCCCTCCCATTTCCTGTTCATTTGGCCAATCAGTGACCCAAAGGCAGTGATGCAAACTGAGATACCTCTGGTACCAAGACTCTCCAGCTAAGCAATGCACATCGCAGCCTGCCGTGATACCAGCCTGGCTCTTTAGAGAAAAATCGAACTGCTGTCTTACTGCTTTTGAACTATCAAACACTTACACATGTTCTCCTTTTAGAATTAATCTTTTTGCTGCCAGTGTAACACTGAGATTGCTGTTAGGAAAGAGGCTTGCAGAACCCATTGGTATTGACTTTAGTAAGTCTCTTTTCTTGGGAAGCTTGGTCAGGTTCTGGAGATTAGTTTTGGATCTGGATCTCACCTTCTGCAGTGTGACAGTACACTCTACAGAAACAAAATGTCTGAAACGTGGCAAAAATACATTCTACCACAGAACAAAATCCAAAGCCACGTTGCCGATACCAGTTACACTGGTGGATTCCTTGGTACTATCTGTATCTGCAAAAGGAAAGCGAAAGGACCGCTCCTTGCTTTTTGCCCCTGTGGCATATCTTGCCAGCAACACAAAGATCTCCCTGTTGCTTGAAAGGATCAATAAATGAGTCGTCAGAATGGGATGTAACTGGATACAATTATAAGGATTAGTGCCTTTAATCTTCCCCGAGCTTCTATAATATTCTCTACCTTTTTTTAAAAATCCCAGACAGGAATTCTTGCTAACTGAATCATTTGCTCTATTTGCGAGGAAGCTTATACCATACTTATACCACGGCAGCTTGTTAGTATCTTGAAGCAGGGCTTCCAGGGGTGTTCTTCACACTGTAAGTTCTAGAAGCTACTTAAGTAAGGGTAGGGCAGCTTGGAGCAAGAAGAGAAAGGATATAGTAATTCAGATGTCAGCTTTGGCAATTCTAAAAAGTCATGGCAGTCTGAGAGGAGGTTTCCAGGCTCCCACATTTCTCTTTCCTGACTCTATGCCAGATACTGATCGCTGTCACATAACCTGCTTTCTTAGCCAGGCAGGCTACTGCATACCTGCAATTCTAGCACCGGTGAGATTGAGGCAGGAAGATCACTGTGAGTTCAGGACCAGCATGGGCTACCTAGTGAGTTCAAGGCCACTTGAACTACATAGCGAGCCTCATCTCAAGTCAAAAACAAAACAAAAACACAGAAACCAAGCCAAACATCAAAAACTACCTGCTTTCTTCGTTTTCCTGAGGATAAATTTCCCAGGATCTTTTGTGGTTGTGAGTGGCCATTTTACTGAAGAGAATAAAAAATACAGCCTTTAAATATTTTAATCCTCCTCCACATCTTGCTTTTGGTTTCTGGGTGACAGGACAGAGATGACCCCCAGGGAAATGTTGGAAGGCACATACTTAGAAGCCGCCAACATGCTGCACACTAAATGACTGTGAGAGCAGATCCTCTCCAGGATGCCATGAACACTTTTTGGACCCTTACGGGAGCAATAATAAACTTCTAAAGTGCTTGAGCTAGTATACCTTTAGGGGTCCACTTGACTTCAGGGTTCATCTACCTTAACAAATTTGCCACCTAATAGTTGGCAAATAGTTGAAAATCATTTACATTTATACCACTAGTCCAGCTGATTTTATTTTGTAAGTAAGACCTCCCAAAGCATCTCTTGCTGTCAGGATCAAAGCTCAAACTGTACACTAAACTATAAAGATGTAAGATCTAGCTCCACTATCCCACTTCTCAGCCTCAGACTAAACTTGCTTCCCTGCCCTCTAGAGTGCCAGTCATATGCGCAGCAACTGCATTTTCCTTCTTTAATGTAGCGAACTCTTTCTTCCTCAGGGCCTTCACATATCCTGTTCTCACAGACTGTAACAGTTCCCCCTCCTTTGATTTTGTATCTTTTACTCACGCTCTGAGCTCTTGCCAAACAGAGAACAAGTATGTCAGTGAGAGTAGATTGGGTCACTTTTCAAGAAGAAGCTTCTAGTGCTTTTTACACTTAAGATTGGGAAGAATTCACTAGGCTGTATTTTAAAAGCTGAGAGCACACATGCACAAAAAATTGTGCAATGCTGACAGCTCAAACATGCAAGGACGTATGTCTAGGTAAAGTACACAATATTCTTAAAATATAGATTATACAGCCATTACATTTAGGCTTAGTGTCAGCAGGGCTGAGAAGAGAATCAAGAAGCCAATTTGCCCTTCCTGTGAGCCAGCTGGTGCATGGGCTTGGAGACAAGAAGAGCCTGTCACCACTCGCTGTAAACATCCAGCCAATTCAGAGGATCATAGGCTGAGTTTAGGCAACTGAGGTACAAAAACAACTTAATTGTTGTATTGTTTGATTGACTTTGCAGGCCTTAAGCAGATAGTCTAAGCATCTATTTTGATAACAATATGCAATATAGCAACTATGGGGGATTTCCTTCTGTCTTGTTTTTGAAATCCAATATTGTTCTCACCTTTTTGTTTCCTTCAATGTTATGTTTTGATTGGTTTTATTCTGTTCTGTTTTGTTTGATTTTATTATGTCTGAGGTATGGCTAGCAATTTGAAGATAACAAGATGTAATATGGTGACCATTGTTGATTTCCTTTAACCTGTTTTGAAATCTTATATCACTTTCACTGTTTTGCTTCAATTGGCTTTATTCTATTTTATTTTGTTTGGCTTTATTCTCTTTAAAATAAAATAAAAATGTTGCTTGCATTGTTCTGTTCTTATCTGCTTTGTTCTGTTTTGTTTTATTCTCTTTAAAATAAAAAAAATACATTTAGGCTTATGACAGAGACAGACACTTAGTGAAAAAGAAGCAAGTTGAAATGTAATGATTAAGAGAATATGCTACAATGTCCCCTGGTTGAGTTTGGAAAATAGGACTTTGGGCAAGCTATTTTATTTCCTTTTGAAATTCATTTTGTTAATGTTTTCTAAGATTTCTGCAATATTCCAATATTGTGTGAGAAGAAAACACCAACTCTATTATCACATTGTGTTATAACTATGTATTTCATAACTCCTCTCCTTCTTCTCATAGTGTGAATTTCCTGACAGTTGTGTCTTGTTCATCTATGTCTCCCTACTTTAGGAAACACCTGGTCTAAGATATTCAATAAAAATTTGCCCATGAATAACACAAATGAACTTGTTATAGTTAAGATCTAAAAGGTTTCTTCAAATTCCCATGCCTGTAGAAGGTGATCAGCTCTTTTACATCAGTGGATTCATTCATAAGTGTGTCAGCACTAAATGTGCTGTCAGGAGGTGTGATGTGGAGGGGTGCGTCTTGTCCCTGGCTGGATCTTTCTTTCTTTCTCTGCTTCCTGGCTGCCATGGGTTGAGAACTATTTCCTCCACCATGGATCCCTGCCATCCTGTTTTTACTTTGGAGCCAGCTCAGCATGGACCATAACTATGAGCCAGAATAAACTGCTCCTCCTTTAAATCACGGGTATTGATATTGTGTTTCAGCAGTGAAGAAAGTGACTAAATCAGAACTTGACATAAAATCCTTCTGTAAGTAGGTCACTTCCCTGCCCACCCTCAGGGCATGAATATACTGTTAGCCACTGGCAAAGTTATTGAAGCTGGCAAAACCTTACCCAACCAGTCAGGACTGTCACCAAGCCCGTGACCAGGGATATGATAGAAATGGTTAAGAGCAGACACAGCGTCATAAGAGCCACTTATGGCAGTAAAGTAAAAATGGTTCCTTGTGCTAGTGTTAGCATTTTGACTGGAGAGTTGGTCTAGGGATGATCTTTGTCCAGCAAGCTCACTGTGTAATCAAAAGCAGATTTTTTCCCACTCACCTGGAGTGTATATCTTATTTAATAATAGGCATAAGGCATTTAAAGGATTTTTCAGTTAATCAGGAATAAGCCTGGTTCTATGGGTAAAATGGGTCTATGGGTAAAAACAAAAATAAATACCATAAGGTAAAAGCTAAGCAAAAGCTGGATATAACAACCAGGAATTTCAGTCTAAGGTTACCAAATAAATCTCTGGCTGAACTCCAGGGGCGGAGGTCTCGGGAGGCAAGAGGACCCAGGCACATGCAAGAATGGGCTCGTTCTTGATATCCTCCACTCCCATAGCCAGTATTTCCCACCCAGAGTCTGGTTTTGTCAGTCTTATACCAGTGCTTGCTTCCCTGTTTCTCTGCCTGTTCTTCCCTCTTCTTTTCCTCTCACCAATCTCAACTGTCAAGGAAAGACACACAGAGGAGAGAGTTCATCTCCAAGGAATGTGTCCACAGTGGTCAGGTGTGGTCACAGCGATCAGATGGGGAGTGATTTTTCTGCCGCAAGTGCACAGGTCCTGCACTCTTCTTACCTAGGAGTACAGGACCTGCAGGGATTTGCTGCTCTAATGAGACTGGCTGCACAGGCCAGGGAAGCCTTGCAAAGAAGAAGCCAATGTGCACATGTCAAGATTTATGCTTCAGATGTCCTGAAGCTATTAGGACATTTCAGAGAAAATCTTTGGAAATGACATGCCCTAGACCCAGGTCTTTCTCTTTCTCATTAAAAAATGAGTTTTCTGGAATTAAAAATTACAAGTCAAGGCAGACTCTCAGATGATGAGGCTGAGATCTAAGCTGAAGAAGCCCCTGAAGAGTAGGGGATGTTTGATTTCTTTGCAGACAGGATATAAGGGGCATCTGATTTGGGTGTGGACATGCTACAGTATGACAATAGAAATCAGGACACTGTAGCTGCCCACTGGCACACGAACCATTCATTTTTGCATTCTTCTGTGGGTGTCACCTGCCTTCCTTATCCCCTACTTTTCTCTGTATTTCGTGGTCCCTGTGGGCCTCTTTAAGACCTTTGGGAAGGCGATGACTCTGAAAGCCACTGGCTTGTCTTCTCTAATGACTGCTTCCACTTTTGATCTGGGTAAGTTCCAGGTTCCTTTTGGTCTTATCCCAACTCTCATGCTTATCGATTCCTGAGTTCAGTCCCCAAGACCTCTCCTCCAAGCCACCATGTGACTCCTTAGCTGGCATCTCTGTTCCAGGCTCCTTTTCTCAATCCACTTCATGCACCGCTGGCATCATACTCACCTGGGCCCATGACTCCTTGGTGTCATGTGCCACCTGGATCTCCCAGAATTCCTTGAGCAGGCAGTGAAGGTCTGCTGTGTTCCAGTCACAACCCACCTCACTAAAGCCCAAACCCTCCCCACTCTTTCTGCATGCTGGGCTCCATCTAGACCAATGCTCACACTGCTCCTTTCAAGACCTTGAAGGTTTCCAGCTTTCATGAATTTTACATTTTGCTTGGAACCCCTACACCCACATGTCTGCATGCTCATCTTCTATCAGTACAAAAGGCTGAGACTAGCAAGCAAACAAAAACATCCAGATGATCGAAAGTGAAACAATAAATATGTTAGCGTGATTCAAGCCTTCTGGAGCATGTACATCACACTGTACTAAACGCATACAGTTGTGACTTGTCCTAAAAACATTTATTGAAAAATAAACCAAGACTTCATTTATGTCATTTGTCCCAACCAGAATGACTTTTTCCTCCTCTAAATTTTTGTATCACTTTCTAATTTCTGAGTAACTGAGGTTTATGCTTTCGTTTTCCTGCTTGTCTTAGTTCCTGAGAGTAGAAGTTGTGCGTAATCTATCTTTGCATGCCTCAACTTGGCATAAGTCACCATTAGTATTTTGAATGAATGAACATAGTGGTGAATTTCTCACCTGCAACTTGGCAGTTAATTGTCACATTCACGCCCTGCACTGTTTTGACGGTGCTTCCTATATCCACAGTGACCGTAGGCTTCTCTGTGTTGATCACAGTCATTCGAGATGTCTTCATCAGTGGCTTTCCTGAAGGTGAGAAAGAATATGACACGTTACCAGATAGTGGCTGTGGGCTTGACAGATAGGACAGCCAGTGATGAACCACGGGTCTTTCCAGGCTTTTCCCACTAATCATGTTTCCCTTAGGAAAAAAAAATGTAATTTCACAATGGAAATCATCCATCTACCCACTGATCTGCTTTCCACAAAGTTGTCAGAAAAGGAACAAGGATTGAAATGCCCGGATAGATAGAGCATGATACACAATTTGGAATGATTTATACAATTTAATCATTCACTTAACTAGTGACTCTGTAAGTTATATTGCTAAGGTCTTATTTTTAAACTTCTTATTTTGAGATGATATAACACAGTTATAAGAAATCATACACAGCAATTCTGTGTTCACTCACCCAGTTTTCTCTAATGGAGATAAGAATGCAACATCATGGTCTCAATATCAACATTAATAAGGTTAAACTACTGGGAATGTCCATCAATGCAAGGGTCCCTGATGATGTCCCCAATCCTTTCTCAATTCTTTGACAACCATTAGGACAGTCAGCACTTCTATAATCTTGTCATTTCAAGAGTATTACATAAAAGGAATCATACAATCTATAATCTTTGGTGATTTATTTTTTTCATTCAGAATAATTCTCCAGAGAGTCTTCCAGGTTTTAAGTGGTATTACAGTTTGTTCCTTTTTACTGCTGTAGTGTCCCATGGTATGGTTGTACTACACTTTGTTTAGCCATTTACTTGCTGAAGAATGTCTCTGGGTTGTTTCAGGATAGTGACATTTAAGTAAAGCTGCTATGAACATTCTGGTTCAAGCTGTGGTAGGAATATAAGTCTTCATTTCCTCGGGGTAAATGCCCAGGAATGCAACTTCTAGGTTATATGGTATTTACTTGTTTAGTTATTTTCATAGAAAACACTGAATTATTTTTCAGAGTGGCTCTACCATTTCATATGCCCATAGACAATGTACGAGTTATTCAGTTTCTCTGCTGCTGGGCCAGCATTTACTATTGTCATTAGCTTTTATTTCATTCATTCTGATAATGACATGCCATTTCCTATGTCTTAGTCACTTTCTTTGTCACTGAGATACAATAACTGGCACCAAAAAGTTGAAGGAGGTGTGGTTGTCTCATGGGTATGGTCAATGGGCACAGTCCAAGGCAGAAATGAGAGAGCAGATTCCATTGCTCCTGGGGGGAGGAAAGATGCTCATGGCAACAGAAAGGAGGGAGGGCCTGGGGAGAGAGATATCCTTTCTAGAATATTCACCCAGTGATTCACCTCCAACCAGCCTCACCTCTCAATTGGTCATTCAGCAGCTGAACTTAGAGGATGAATCTGAAGATAAATAAAGTACCTTATGATTCAACCACCTCCTAAACGCCCTGCTCGGGTTGCCTGAGAGTTTTGGGGAATATTCTAGGTCTAAGCCATAATAGTTGAAAATCTCTTAAGTGTTTGTTTGCCATATGTGTATCCTCTTTGATGAAATGTCTATTTGTGTAATTTGAACATTTTCTAATTAGATTTTTTTTTACTGAATGTGTAAATATTAGTTCTTTTTCAGACAAGTGGTTTATAAATGTTTTCTCTCAATCTGTAGCTTTTCATTTTCCTTGACATAATCTTTCATGGATTTAAGATTTTAACTTTGATAAAATCTCATTTATCAGTGTTTCTTTGTATAGATTATGCTTTTGGTATCAAATCAAAGAACTATTTTTCTAATTCTACATTCTGAAGGTTTTCTTCCTACAAGTTTCATGGTTTTACATTTCAGTCAGTGATGCATTTTGAGTTAGTTTTGGTATAAAGTGTGAGATGTAAGAGAAAGTTCATTTAATTATTGCTTTGGGATATCTAATTGTTATGACACTATGTATTTGACAAGCTATCTTTCTATATTGGATTGCTTTTGTACTTTTGTCAAAATCAATTGACAAATTATGTAAGTTTATTTCTGGGTTCTCTACTTATCTATGTGCCTCTCCCCCTACTAATACCACACCATCTTAATTATTGCAACAATAAATTTTAAAATCAAAGAAACTGATTCCTCAGACTACATTCTTCTTTGCCAAGCTAATTACTTTGCCTTTTATATATATTGTGGAATAATCTTGTCAGTCTATGAAACCTTACTAGGATTTTGATAGGAATGACATTAACTATATCGATTAGGAGAAAACAGATATTTGTTGAATATTTTAATCCATGGAATACAACATGTCTATTTTCTTTAATTTAGATCTTTAGTATTTTTTTTAAATCAGTGCTTTGTAATCATCAGGTTATAAGCTTCATTATGTTTTGATAGACTTACACCTAAATATTTCTTGTGAGAGATAAACGACATTGTATTATTAATTTCATTGTTTAGTGCTGGTATATAGGATTACAGAAATTTAATTGATTTACTTTTAATAGTGTGTTACTTGATTAAATTAGTTCTAGGGTTTTTCTTTTACAGATACATTTTATTTGCAAGTGCAAACAGAGACGAGTTTTCTTTCTTTTTTTCTAACCTCTATGCTTGTTAATTTCTTTTCCTGCAATAGTATACTGGATAGATCTTCTATACTATTTTGAATAAGGGTAGTGAAAGTGTAGTTTAGAATGATGAATAATTTCCAGTTGCAATTGGCATGTTTTTGTATGTTATGAGACTCTGAATCTTATTTAAACCTTCTGTGCTGGCTGGCTTTTCCTGAAACTGCTCAGGCATGGCAGCAGGGAGGTGCTACCTTGTTATCACCCAGTGGAGGTGGGACTCCAGGTTCTCCATGAGCTTCCTTGGTTTGGAGCAGGGAGCCTCTCAATACTGCTGGCCAGGGGGAGAACTCTGGCTCCCTATGGTCTTCACTGACCCCCGTGGGAGGAGCTGGCCTGCCTCCAGAAGGTAGTAAAAGCTTTGGCTCACCAGTGGGCCTTGCTAACACTAGTGGGCAGGAGGAGGACGGGAGAGTAGGTGGAGGTGGTGTCTACATTATGGCTGGCTAGGGATGAACATCCTCACCTTTTCTGATAACATCTTCGTGGGAATGTGGGAGTGCTGGGAGTTACCATTTCAAGTCTTTCTAGAGGAAAGTCTGGGCTCCTTATTCAGCTTTTACTGGTATGTGGTGAGGGCTCAGTGCTTTCTCTGATGTTTGGCCAAGAAGAGCGAATTTTCTAAATATCTTGCATCTTGCCCTGTCATGGTCCTTTTGCTAGTGAGAGCAGGGGCTTAAATCAAGGTTTTTTTTTTTTATTGTTTTGTTTTGTTTTTTAAAGTAGGCAATGGCATTTCCTGGTTGCTAGCTTCTTCAACTTCAATGTTGGGATTTATAAAGCAAAAAGAAAATCCAACAAAGTTTTTGTAAATCGTGTGAACTGTTCCTCAGTTTCCAAGATCTCTAGCCAATCAGTTTTTTTCTCTCTACTTTTCAGTCTTCTGTGAACATTATACATAAGGTTTTTAAATTGCCCTTAGTGGGAAGAATAGGGAAAAGAGAATGTGCCACCTATGTCGTATTCCTGGAAGCAGTTCTGTGTACTTTATGTTTTAGGAGGCACTTATCAGCTGGGGAAAAATATGACACTTCATAAATATGATCATTAAATACAACAAGAAGATTCATTTATTGAATACCTTGGGGAAATAAGGGTCCACATGAGATCATTTTTATATACCTAAAGCCTAATCTTTTGCAAGTCAAATGGATTTAATTTTGTTTTAACCATTTTATAGCAAGGCTCTACTGAAATGGTATCTACTCTTTGCCTTCATTAATGGTGAAGGAAAATCTTATTTCAGAAATACTCTTTGGAGTCTTACACCTGATTTGTATGTGTTTAGTTTTCTTCCTTGTCTATTCACTTTTTAGTTATTCATAACTTATCTCTAAACTGCTCTTTTTCTTCCTCTCAGTTTTAGTTTTCTCTAGGCATAGATAATTAAGCTCACTGGAATCATGTTTAAGAGTGGAAACTTGACTGAGTACCTGAGAATCTCACCTGTGAATGTGTGGATAGTCTTTTCATTGTTTGGATTGTTTAGGGTCTTTCTCCTCTTTTCACCTATATTTCATTCATTTAATATCATGCATGATCTGACGTGAAGATCACGTATTCAGTATGGTGCTGTTTGCACAATCAATGCAAGCAAAGCTGATAACAGGAGGAAGTGCCTGGAACATCACTGAGTTAATGCTGGCACACTTACCTTTCTTTTTTACCTTTAAGCAGCGACTCAGCTCTAATTCCCAATCTACCCCGAATCTAATCAGATCTCTGTCTCTAATCTCATGCCATCCTCAGCTCTGGCTAGACAACTGTGCAGCCTAACTGGTCTCCTTGCTTCTACTCTTGCCTTACGAGTCTCTTAAGACAGAGTGATTTTCCTAAAACATGAATTAGATCATTGATTCTCTTCTTAGCTTTTGTAGTGCTTTTCAATGCAAGCTGACCAAAATTTCTGGCTTATTTTCATGACCAACTTTTCCCTACACAATGAAGTCCATCAGTCTGCCTCTCCCCGCTCACTGAGACAACACCTCGTGAAACACTGCAACCCAGCACACTCTCCTTCTTTCCTCCTGCAAATCAGCAGCATCGGTGTCCTGTCTGTCCCTGATATCGTCTGCTAGGGAGATAGATAATATCAGGGTTATTGTGCAGATAACTATGTGGTTATTGTCCTCTGTTCATTCAAGTCTCTGTGCGAAGTGTCTCCGCATGAGACCTTTCTTACCTGCTCCATCTAACACACACACCTCTTCAGCACACTGCCAGGTATTATGTATCTCATGGACAATTTTTTTCATAAGACTACCTGATCAGCATTTATGCTATTTATTTGTATGTTCTCTGTACCCTCTCCCTTACTGTACTTTACTATACAGTCTCCATAAAAGCAAAGAACGCATCTCCTCTCTTTATTTTTGCTACCTATTCCTGGAACATAGTAGGTCCTCAATGAATATTTATTACATGAAAAAAATGTGTGTATTATTATGTGC